ATTTTGGCGATAAGTTGAAACAGGTAAACTGTTAGGGAATGATAAGTAATGGCCATTAGAAGGCCGAATCAGAAGTGGATGGTTCACTTGGGGCGGCCGAAGGCGGCTAAAACTGATAAAAAATGTTTTTGCGGCCTTTGATGGGCCAGAACCATAATTTCTGAAGTAACGGCCAGTCTAAAGCGTGGAAAATACGGAGCAGTCGAAATCCTAAAATTTCATTGTGCGGCGGAAATTGCATAGAGGATTATGATGGGAAAGATAGTAGGTCTGTTAGTGTGGTACAAACCCACGACACGTTGAAGAGTCATGTAAAGAGGAATACTTAGAAGCTGGTCTGCCTATGTTTCATCCCTTAGCTGTAAACAGACAGTATAAGATGCGGTTAGAGGTGAGAAAGTCAACTCCGTCATTAGCGTGCTTGTCAGCAATCCCCGAAAAACAAAACCATCGAGAACCTTACAAACGAAGAGCTACAATCAAATACAAAAAGGGGGCATGAAAAAGTGTCGTTTTTACAGTTGATGCTAGTTTTCAGGGTTAGAAAATAGCACCCTGTAGATTGATGAAGAATTCCCAGTACCTGTTCCCAATTAAAACTTTCTGCGTGATAGAAAAACAAGAATTTATAACAAGAAAAACAAAACTTGCCGTGTTTCTTTGACATCGCCGGCCTTTCGAACTGACTTCTCGACCACACGTGGCTGACCACCGTTACGCCCATCGTAACTAATCATTGTTGAATGCGAAAACACGTGTGAATTCGGATCATTCATTGCATGAGTCTGCATGTCCTCCTGAAAAGCACAGTCATAAATGCAAAATTTTGAAGCTCTCAATCGCTAAAATCGTATGATGGCTGCCCCTGCTCTGCAATATGGCCCAAATGTGGCAAAATTTGCTAAGTAAAGTGGTAAAGCTTGAAATCTGCCATTTCGAAAGAGCCAAAGCTTTGCCAAAAGTTTTTTTCCCGAGAACAACCAAATAGTTGAACAATTTAGTTAAGAAAACGAACATCAGAAACACCAGATTTGCGACCACTCGGTGGTCTGGTATTTGTCAAAGTAACTGGAAAAGTTGCCAGCTCACTACGAATTAAGGCTAATTCAAATATTTCGAGTACAGTTCGTTTTTAGCAAAATTGATTTACACCAAATTGGCAGTGAGAGCGATCCCTTAGTTGTTAGAAGAACAGTAAGGGCTTAAAACTTTCGGGTAGTTTTAAGGAAAATAAAACCAAATGGGTGGGTGATGAAAAGTTGACAAATACGTCGAGCATGACCAGGAAGTAGATGTGTGCCACAACCTCTAGCCGGAGAATGCACGTAGAATGGCTGCCGGATGAAACAAATTTCACAGCATTGCCGATTTTTTCAAATGGCGAACAGGAGAGCTATACCCATTTCTTCAACACCGACGTATTGAAGGCAACGACTTACAGGGTGCGAAACGTGGTCACTCATGAAAGCTGAAGAACCGGTACTAAAAGTGATAGAAACAGCGATGGAGCGAAGAATGCTTGGGAGTGTTCCTTGATGAAATCACTATTAAGAACTCCCCTAATCCACGCACGCTATCTCCTTAAATCCTCAGCGAATCGATAAAGCTGACAATTCAAAACTGACCATCTGTCGCATGATACCACCAAAGAAGTCGCCTCCAAAGTTACCAAACGGATTCATCAGTGCCATGCTGTGACGCTGCCGAGACGGATCTTCTGGCGCACCTGGAAAAAAACAAACAAACTCTGAGAAGAGTCCGAATACAGGAAATGTTTGTAATGGAACCACTGCGCCCATACCAGTATCTGATTGGGAGGAGGGAGCAAGAACGGAGAGAGGGAATGACGAGGGTACAGGAATGAAAATGAGAAGTGCCAATTTGAGAAGAGGAGCTAAAAAATGAGGCAGTCCTCTTTCCTGTTTTAGGCTCCAAGAGCGGTAAGCTAAGTATTTCAATATTTAAATCAGTGCGAGGGGGCGGGGGTGGGTGAGTTTGAAATCTTAAAGTCGTATGCGGGCTGGAAGCATCCCTTAAAATTTCAGCTCCCGGCTTTTCTGGTTCTCAAGTTAGCAATTTTCTCAATCAGCGTTATGAATCGGGTCGTGGTCAGCGGCGGAAAGTGCGCAACGGTGGTGAATAATCCCGAAGCGAGCAACAAAATGAGGATCAGCTAGCTGCCCAACTCAGAATGTAATCCAACACTCAGCTGTTGGTTCTGGTTTTCAAGGTAAGTTTTACACCTGCTTTGATCTATGCCGCATCGCCTAGTGGTTAAT